ATTTTATGTTTAGAACTGTTTTATGGGCTGCGTCCAAAAGATATTCATGTATTAGATGGTTTGAGACAAGTGTAGTAAACTTTCGCTTCGTTTTATGAGACTTTGATTGTATTGGAAAAAAATGTTTTAAATTTCTGCACCATTTTCTATTATCTTATGTTATGATATGCTAAGAGGCTTGTATGAGGCTTTTCGGAGTCTTGTAAGCCGTGTCACATCTAGGGGGTACCCCTGTGTCGTGACACTTTATCAACCTCCCCATCTCTCCATTTCCACCTCGCTAATCATTCCAACCACTATCTCTATCATTGTTCCAACCTTGGTTCCCACCTTATCATTGATAATTGGTGTGAGAACCCACCCCCACCCCCATTTGGTTTTCCAAATATTTAACTTTCTCATTGTATAATGCCTCAAACTTGACATCATTCGACACTATCCACTGTTGGTTCCACTTGCATTTACCCACTTAAATCCATCTCCAATGACATGTTTAGACAACAAATCGAGTTAGGTCATCATTTTGGCCATAAATTTTTGGGGGGAAGAAAAATGTTCCAAGATTATATATGAAAGAGAAAATTAAGGAGATAACAATCGATAAACATATGATTATATCATATTTGCATAAACAAAGTGAAATAAAGAGTGAATGAAAAATTATAAAGGAGAAATAAGATGAGTGTGTATAAGAATTTTAGAGAGAGAGAAAAGGGAGAAAGAAAAAAAAACAATTTAATTCGGTTACCATTGAAATACAATCGAAAGCACAAAAATTGTAAAATTCTGGCATTCAATTAAGGATAAGAAATGCAGATATCGTCAATTTTTTTGAAAAAAAATATTGTAGACAATCAATGTAGAGAAAGTTTTGATGTGATTTAAGTTACTAATTGGGAAGAGTTGTTGATGTAATTGATTTTTAATAAAAATATTTTAGGGAAGAAGATAGAAATCCTAAAACTTGAAAGAGGGAGAAAAAAAGAGGAAAGAAGGAGAAGAAAGAGGGGGAGTTGAAAAATACCGTGAAAAAATCAAAAAGAAAAAAAAAATTGCACTTTTCAAAGAACAAAACGTGGTTATTGAGTCAAAAAAATAAATATAAAAAAAAACTTTTAATTGACTATTTATTTTCAATTAAATATATAAGTTGTCATGTTGTGCCATTTTTTAAAAAGTAAACTCAATATATTCATTGACAAATTAATTTAACCGAAACAAATTACATAGCCATCTTTGATCTTCATGGATTTAACTAGGGGTATCAAAAGAATATGAAAAACCGACCAAACCAACCGAACCGTACCGAACCGATTTATATTATTTTTAAATAAAACTGTGGACTTTTATTTAAGTGTATAATAGTACCGAACAATTGAGATGGTCTTTTAATTAATAAAAAAATTGAAACATTTATGAACTGAACCGAATAATCTTACATGTATACAAATATATTTATATATTAGTAATATGCTAAATTTTGTATAAACATATTTTGTCACATTTTTCAAATATAAATATAACATAGGTCCTAGACCTCTGGTGACGACTTTGAGCCATTGTCCTTTAATTAGTCTTTGGTTATTTAGGTTTAAAAATAAGGAAATTTCGCAAATAGCCACTAAAAAACTTAATTACGCTTCATAGCTATAGTTTGCTAATTATGATTCGTAGCTACATGTTAGAGAGAGAAGAGAGGCGAGTGAGAGAGGGCAGAGAGTGGAGAGAGGTGAATCGTATATGTATATTTGTCGAATTATGTGTTTGTGTATGTATATATATATATATATATATATATATATATATTTGTATATCTAGCAAGCGAGATTGGAAGTCTAAGGAGAGAGGTGAACGAGATTGGGAGACAGAGGGGAGAGGCGAGCGAGAGAGGGTAGAGAGTGTGGAGAGACGAATTGTATATGTATGCAGATAATTGTGTATATATAACTGGTATACATATGTATTTGTATATCTGGCGAGCAAGATTGGGAGAGGGAAGAAAGAGGTGAACGAGATTGGGAGACAGAGGGGAACAGTGCGCGAGAGAGGGCAGAGATTGGAGAGAGGCGAGTTGTATATGTACATCTGTCAAATTTTATATGTATGCTGATAATTGTGTATATATAACTGGTATACATATGTATGTATATATCTAGCGAGCAGATTGGGAGTAGGGGAGAGAGGCGAGCGATATTGGGAGAGGGAGAGAGGATAATTGTATTTGTATATTTGTTATATAATTGTATATGTATATGTATAATTTTTATTTGATAATTTGTATTTGTATATTTATAAAGAGGAGAGAGGCGAGAGAGAGGAAGATAGGCGAGAGGGCAACATAATTATAGCTAAAATTAAGCTGCGAGTGGTAATTAATTAAAACTATAGCTACGTTAACTAATTAGCTAGTATATGTTTGCTTATCCACGTAATTTCCCCTATCATTCCAATTTTTTGGTAATTTATAATGTATAACCAAAATTAGATTTTTTTTAAAACTATATCAATCATATAGGTTTCTCTTTGGTATTGGTAGGGTTCGGTTAATTTTCATTTTTTACTTCTAAAGTATCACCTCAAATTACACCAATATTGAAATATTTCTTTCACAAGTATGTTCTTGAAGAAACACTTCAATTCTTCACCAAGAAGCTAAGAATGTAAAATTTTATTACCGTATTGTTCGATTTTAAACTTTTAATAGGAGTGTTTGCATAAGTTTTGTCGTATTGTTCAATGACTTCTATTATAGTATCTTTTTTGAAGGGAAAATTTTTTTAAAATAACCAACCGAACCGTTCCATTGATACTTTAAATTTAACTAGAACGTTGAACCATCATGTGTCCAGCAACAGTCCCCTCATTTCTTGACTCGTAGGAGTGTCCTGATGTGTAGCCCTTACTAGATATATTTATTTTTCTTCTTTTTCCAAACTACCTAATATATCTTTGACTTTGAGTTTGATTTTTTCCATTTCTTTTTGTTATGTGTTTGTAAAGTAACGTGAGTGAGTTTTCTTAGGCTTTAAGGTGTGGGTAAGAGGACAGAACCTGCAAATTTTATGAAATTTAAAAAGATGTTATTTGTTTATATGTCCACTTTAAAGATGCACTTTAGGTTTTTGCATTTTCAGGTTTTGAGGATAGTATAGGGATATTTTTGGCCAAAAATTTCCTCCTCCGTGTAATGTATTTTATCATACAGTTAGGAGCCTTAACCCCTACAATGTTAAAATGAATATTATAAGTGAACATCAGAGGAGTGTTTGGTATGAAGCAATAGAGGTAGGCATTCGGTATTTGTTTCGGGTTTTCCAAATTTCAGGTTTGGTAATTCGGTAAACGGTAAATTAAATTTCGGTTTGGTACGGTATTCGGTAATACCATATTAAAGTTATAGTTGATTGTATTACAAAATTAATACTATTTCTCCAATCATTTATATTTTTTTATGTGGAGGCACAATATTATAGAAGATCAACAAGTAAGAAGACATCAAGAAAAACAAATTGATGCAACTAATAGACATATGTATTTGGATTGTTTATGCTTATTCTTTGACTTTCTCTTTGAACTTGTACTAATGAGTAATAGATATATTGATATATGACATTCATTAAGTAAATAATTTGGTATTCGGGACATACCAAATACCAAATGGTACTTATGTCTCATACCAAACCCAAACCCAAACAAGAATACCATAATACTAAAATTTACTCCTGAATAACATACCAAATACCGAATACCAAATTGCCAAAAATTTCAATTCGATTTCGATATTTTATGTCCAGCCCTATGAAGCAAAATGTTTTCCAAAAAACATAAAACAAAGAGTTAGGGTCGAGATCATGTCAAGCTTGAGTAGGAATCACATCCTAGGTCAGAGTCATGTCACAATTAAGGTAGTAAGGTCTTGAGTTAGGGTCAGAGGTTAGAAGTTGGGAGAGTCTAAGGCTCAAGGTCGAAATTCGGGTTTTAGACTAGGGTCGTGGTCGACAGTCAGGTCGAGTTTGGGATGGGATCTCAAGTCGGGTCCGTGGTCAGGGTCAAGGTTGAGAGTCTAATCGGGTCAAGAATTGAGTACCGAGTCAAGGGCAGGATCATGAGTCAAGAGTTGAGGGTCAGGATAAAGAGTCAGGTTGTGGTTCAGGGTCGGGTTTGAGACCAGATCTAGGGTTGGGTCTCAAGTTTGGAGTCAGGGTTAGAAGTTGAGTCTCAAATCAAGGACCCAACTCCTATTGTCCTACATGATCCCTGTCCAGGACCCGACTCCCCAACTTGGCATGACACCAAACCCAACCCAACCCAACTCTCGACCCAGACTTGAGATTCTCGAAACCAAACTCCTGATCCCAATCTAAGACCTGACTCCCGACCTGGGAGCTGGCCTCGAACCTGACATGATTCCTAACCCATTACATGTTTCTCAATCTAGGATCAAATTGGGGTCGAGGGTCAAGAGTCTAGAGTTGCATCTCGAGGTCGGGTCCCAAGTCAAGATCAAAATTTACAGTCTAGTGCTCGATCAAGATCAAATTTCAAGTCGGGTGGTGAGGTTGAAAGAGATTTTTGAAAAAAAAAAATCCTTACTTCATATTGGAAAATTATTTTCCTTAAATTTGAGAAAAATAAGTCCATTTTGAGAGCATTTTCCATAACATTCAAGTCAATCAAACATGAGAAAAATTGAAAAACATTTTCCCGTCATACCAAACACACCCAAAGCGAATGTTGAAAAAGGAGGGGCTAAACCTATTAAACCATACCAAGAGCTACATTTTCTATTAAATGTGGCCATTAAAAATAGAAGGAATGGAAAACAGTATTAGTAATTAATAAATATAATTGATGGCTATAAAAGGATTCATCCCAGGCATAGATATACACCTTCAAAATTGATTATTTCTACAGAAACATGTTCTGCTGATTCCCATTCCTTTCACAGAAGCACAGGGAAGAATGGAGTGGAAGGAAAGGCATTAGCAGAAATATACATCCTTCAAAGAAAATTATGGAAGAAATTTTCTAAAAAGATGGTAACATGTACTCAAAAGCATCGATCTACATGAATACCATCTCTTTCCGAGCTTCAAAACTTGGTTGCCCAACCTATGGAAACAACTTTAAGGCAACTCTTCGCCTGCTTATTACTCCACATAAATTACACTATCTGTCTGTAAAAACATAAAGGTTAAGTTGAATGGAAATTTCACAAAACAAGCCCTACCAAGTGCCAGGAAGAAAAAACTTTTGCGCAGTTGAAACAACTTATATACTAATGCAAGATTTGGATAATCTTATTATACCTGAAACTTATTTTTTAAGACTATTGCATGAGAGGACCTTCTTTCCATAAGGATTGGTCCGTAGAACAGGAACATGGGCTCTCACAGCCTCCACGAGTGCAGCATGCAAGGCTCCCTACAGGTCAAGAAATTGTCAAGATCAAATGTTTCCAATTAAGACATTACAACAGTGGTAAACTAATGACCTTTGAGATATTTAGAGCAGCTTGGATAACATAATTGCCATATGGGTCTTGCATGATCTGGTCTAGTCGAGGATCACTTAACAGCTCCTCAATGATATATGAAGAACGTTCTTCATCCACATGCTTAAGACATTTCTCTACCACATTACTGCTGTATTTTTGCATAGAAAGGTCCCCGAATTTACCCCGCAGCTGGTCAAAGATATTTGTTGTTGCCCAGGGAAGACGAATGTCAAAAATATATTGCACAACATAATTCCTGCAAAACGGAAAACAATGGGACTTACTAAAGAGAAATCCATACTTCTGTATATTATACAGGGAATGAAATCAGACACTTGAACTTGACTAGCATGAGTCACATTTCAAATTTCTACATTGAGTCTTCCGAGTTTTAAAATTTCTCATCAATAAGATTCATAAAAATAATGATATTGTTGTATTTATGAAATAAATTATTGTCTACAACCATATATTACAAAGTCCTGCTGTATAAAAGAATTGACATACCCAAATGGATCTTGGGAAAGTACCAATGCATTTGAAGTGATCTCATAGATTAATCGGTGTCTTTGTCCACCGTCAGATTGGCTAAGACATTTCTGTAGCACACAGCAACCATGACGATCTGTAGCAAGTTCGACACAATTGGTAATAGCAGCTTCAAACAGGAACTGCGAAAGAAAGAAATTTGTGTCCCAAGTTAAATTTTTGTGTCGTGCAAAAACTAAGCAATGAAGGAAACCTCAAACGGCTAGGTATGTGAAAACTAAATGAACCTCTCCAGCACTTTCTAGCCAAAAATTAAGTGACAAACAATTTTTAAAAATAAGAAACTTGTAAAGAAATCACTTCAACAGGAATGAACACTATCCCCTACAATGTTAGACAGAGGCATCAGTAATCAGAAATCCTCTTCTCTATAATATGCTACCTTAAGTTTCGTCAGTTTGAATATGGGGTTAGGAAATTAATAGAACTAACACTACGAATACAGTTCATTTATTTTATCCCTATGAAAAGCATATGAACAGTTTCAAATAACTTACACTACAGTTACAAAATATCCCTACAAAGACATGGTGGAAACCTAATAAGATTGGCATAATCAAATATCCTAAGACAATCTGCTGCCGCACAATCAACCGACGTCCTTGAAGTTTAGGAGTACCAGTTACTGATGAAATGACATCAACACAACAAATAGAAAGGACAATACAGATATTAATTATGATTATGCGATCTAATAGTTCAAACTGTCCCAATTTATGTGACACATTTTCCTTTTAAGTCCGTTCCAAATGGTCAAGGAGTGTTTTAGACTACATATTTCAAAAGTCGTCCCTTTTCCTTAAAATTTGTGTCCAGTCAAATGGTATCACATAAATTGGGACGGAGTGAGTATTATTTTCCAAAGGATGACAACAAGATTGACTATTCTGGTACTCTCCTGAATCCTGATTACCACTTCAATGCTATCCATGAAAAAATCAAATACATCCAAAACTGGAGATTAGTATATAACTGTTGTAACAACCAATAAAAGAGAAATCTGAATGCCTATCCTATCATCAAGTTGCACTAATATTGGATATTGACTCTACGGTTCTCCTTCTCAGTATACTACACAATGGATTGCTATTCTTTACCTAAAAGGAGCAATGAAGTTATCTCCCCAACATTGTAACAACTCAGCCCTTTGATCTCTAAACTACAGGAAATATCAATGTGTAAAATTACTGCCTATAAACGGATACATATGCAACTTACTTCTCTATACTCAGGTGTTAAGTATTGCAAGCACCGCTGCGCAACATGGTTACCATTCATGTCCTTGATTAAATTCACTAAACCGGGTTTCAATGAGGAGACAATCATGGAAAACTGCTCAGGTGTTTTAAGAGTTTCAATAACTTTTTGCACAGCTCGGGTCCTGCAGTTAAGAAGAAGAAAATATAAACTAATTGTGAAGAAAATGAACAGAAGCAGCTCGGTAAAGAAAAAAGGACTTTGATAAAGAGAGAAATCAGACCCGTGCATGTCACATGAAATTCTTACAAGATCCCCAGCTATTCTAGTGATTGCACGAAGTATCTGCATTCTCTGACCTTCATTGCACACCTCAAGAAGCTTCTGAACAAGGTAATTGCCAAAGGGGTCAATCATGAGCTCCACAATGTGCACAATAATCTCAGGAAAAATCTTTTCAACATCTTCTGAAGATCCTTCAGCAAATTTCCTCTGCAAGAAGCGACATCCATTTTGATCCTTCGCCATGAGATAGATTCTTCCAGCAAAATCATCAATTAAATTATACTCCTGAGACTGTGACCACCGATGAAATTTGAGATCAACAGCATCAGGAGAAAAGCTTCTTGATTCTAGACAATCCAAGCGAGATTCTGCACTTGGAGAATGGAAACTACGCTTCGAATAAGCGTTGGGAAAAACTCTTCTATTTTGATTCATATTTGAAAGATAGTTGGTTCCTCCAAACGAACCGAATTTAGCAGACTTAACTGGCTCCGGTCCATGTGATCTTCTTAACATTCTTTCAGGAAAGTATTGTTTATCTGTTTTGTCTAAACCTTGCAGCACATCAGAACCCATTGAGCAAAACAGGGAATTTAACGGGTTTATACTTCTTGAAACTTGCTGGTTGAAGTGAGGAATCGGCATCTCACTGAATGGTTGACGCGAGCTACTATTGATTGATCTACTTGTGATTGACCCATCAGGTTGAATTGGATACTGATTACCTAATTGCTGAGCACGAAGTTGCTGCATATATAAGAAATAATGTTGTTCCTCTTCAATGTGTCTACATGCTCCATGGTGTCGATTAATTTGTGAGTGGAAGTAAGGAACAGGTGATGTAACATCCAAGAAATAATGTTGTTGATTGGAAATTACTGGAATATCTACCCGATGAATTGGTGGAAGTAGGTGAACACCTGGCACTCCAGGAGGTAATGGTACAGCTGCAGATATGTTTTCCATTGTATGTACATATCCACTTTGGTGCCCACCAATACTTGGACTAAACCCATTAAAAGCATTGGATAGATTATTTGGTGTTCTTGTTGAGGGAACAACTAACACTTGCGAATCCAAATTCGAAGGGATTTTACCTAAGCTATTTTTGCGTTGTCCATTCACAACAGCTAAATGGTTCAGCAACGGCGTAGAATTAGCCATAGGAGCTGCAGATTCTAAGAAGGCACCATCTTTTACACGCAACTCAGCAAATGCAGACGCTATAGCCTGTTCATTTGGTAAGTTTATTTCTTCAGACTCATACCTCTTGTTAGGTAGCTGCTCAACTCGGTTACCAAATTCTTTTAACTTGCCTAAGATCTCATTGCTTATATATGTCTCAGTAACACCAATAGGCTTTGACCCATCCCCATTCGAGGATGTCAAATTAAAATCTTTTGGACAATTGATGACACCAGATTCCTCAGAATATGAATTCCCAGAAGTAACATTTGGAATCTCACCAAGAAGTTTCTCGAATTCATCATTTTCCAGTTCATTCACCCCATTCTCCATTTTCTGAACAACAGGCAGCATCAAGATTATTCTTCACAGTGATGAGCAAGATTCATGGGTCTCTTTCTTCTATACAAGAAAGGAAATTGAAAGTGAGAACACAGCACATAGTCCAGTACACATAACACAAAATTGGCTAAAGCCTTTAACTTATACCTCAAACGTACTCATTGTATACCAATTTAATCACCAAGAAAATAAAGTCAAAATCAAAATACATAAAGTGCAACCAACAACTTTGCACATCCAATTCCACAAAAATTTGCATCATCCTCAATCAAATAAAGGGATTGTAGGACAAGCAAAAACAATGAATAATAATTCTTTAAAAATTCAAGTCTCCCGTATTTGAAAACAACTCAATTCCAAGTAAGCTATTGCAGGTCATCTCAGTCCAATATTTTACAACATAATTATGGAAAACATTTAAAAATTGATAAACAAGGTCAAAATACCCAGTTACAGAACTGAGGGAGAATGTCTGATCAGACAAAGTGTACCGACATGTCTCCTCGATATTGACGTTAAATTTTACATAAAAACAATTATACAGAAACAAAACAAAACAAAATAAAATATTACATCAGATTCCGTCAAAATCAATTCGATTTGTCAGAAGAATCAAAACTCAATACATTAGATCATCAAAATCAAATAAGAATCTAACAAAATAATCAAACCACTGTCCCAAAACAGAACAAACCCTTGATCAAACACAAGTAATAATAAGAGGAAAATAGAAAAATACCAGTAAAGCATTAGTGATCAGAGTAACAATAGGAATTGATCATAGCATCAATTTCATGAAAGTGACTTTCCTTGATTTCAATTTAGAACACAAAAAATAGGGAGATTTTGTTGAATTGTGAGAAAGTGAAAAGTGTGGCAAGTAATGGAGGTGAGGCGGCGTGAGAAGAGTTTACATATGACTATAACTGAAGAGAGAGAACGAAAGAGGTGGCATTCATCGACAAATACTATGTTGTTGTATATGTATCAGTTTTACATCACATACACAAACCCAAATTGAAACAAACACACCAACAATTTAAAACATTGGAAATTATTTCAACAAAGTGCACAATTTTGGAATGCTAAATTCACATTATTATTATTATTATCATATATCCGTGCATGCCTTTTGCCCTTCTCACATTGTTTGGTACGTTTCTGGTTTTCTTGCCAAGGTGGCCCTTTTTTAAAGAACAAGTGTTTACTCTACTTAAATACTATTTAATTAGTATATATCTTTTTATGAGTTATATACTCATAGGGTCAAAGATTATTATATCATTAAGTCCCCTAAAACATAATTACACATAACTAATCATAATTATTATAATTAGTAATCTAAAAGTAACATGTTTAATTATAGTGATTGTGTAAAAGATTGTGATATTATCAAAATATATATATATGAAGTTCATTCTATTTTCTTTTAATCAATCTAAGCATATATATATATATATATATATATATATATAGCAATAATATATTGCACATAAATAATACACTACATTTATTGCTATTTCTGTATAGTTTTTATGGCATGCTTTTCTTATGTTTTATGGTCTTACAACATGCTATAATTATCATCTCCTTTATTGTCTATTTGTTAAAGACTTTATGATGCAATTTTGAATACCATTTAAAGGTAAAAAGAATTGTGTGCACCTAGTTACTTCTTTTAATTTATATACCTATGTTTCCAAAAAGTTTAATTGATAATCAAATATAAATAACTTCATATAAAATTGTTTCTTTTTTTTTCCTTCCTCTCTTCTTCTTAATTATTGAACCAAAAAATTTTCCCAAACTATTTACAATTGATGATTTGAACAACAATACTTTAAAGAAGTGGGTTTTGAATTTTGGATATGAAATATAAATTTAAATTAAGTGTGTGATATTTTTTTTAAAAAAAAATGCTGAAAACAATGGCAATTTACCTTGTTGCATAATGATTTTTTTTTAAAAAAAAGATGTTGGTATTATGACAAATTAATGGTTGTGGATTTGTTTTGTATGATATTTAGAATTCATGTTTCAAATGTAAGCACATTCGAGATAAATGATATGTTCAAATTACAATAGAAGTATAAAGCGGTTGATGTTCCAATATAGAATCTAATAAGATTAGGGCCGATTTCAGAGGAAATATGATTTGGACCTAGTTCAATTGCGATTATTTATGCTCCTAGTCGAATTATTTTCGAAAGCAGGAATTTGTGTAACAAGCAATGTCTATAATCTTCACAAAAAGCAAGTAAATAAATATCAATTAAACAAGTTTTGAATTAATGATAGATGAAACTAAGGTTTTGTGATCCCCATGAAGTCATAACTTAGTAAGACTAGATATTAGTAACATTTTTTTTAAGTGTAGCATGCAAGATCGGTAAGTTAAGTTCACCTAAGTGGTTGGTCCCCTAAATGAGTGAATACACCGTGCAACTTGGTCCGTCTATGGGTGTTTACTTTACTAACTCGTACCATTGATCCCAAATTAGCTATTCTCATACAAGGTCAAGCTATTAGATGAGGGTTGGTAGCCTCAAATCTCCATTGTGTTATTTGTTTTCCCATTCGTTACCCATTTGGTCCAACAAGAAAAAATAAGATGAGTCCTAAGGCGTACATTCATTAAAAAGCAATCAAAGTGAAGGAAAAAACAATACATGCATTCACATTTTTCAAAGTTTACTAAGTATTAAGTCAACTTTGTTAATTCTTCATGGTTTCCACAATCCTAGTTGTGGATTTAGCTACTCAGGCTTGTATGGTAACCATCAACGATAATTTAGTTAATCGGAACCATGCACTACAAGATGAAAAAACTCGAAATCTTGAATTAAACTTCAAAAGCAAAAGTCAACAATCAAATTAAAGTGTGAAATCTCTCCAAATTCAAGAACAAACTCAAAGTAATTGTTTCCTTGTGTTTTTAGAATATACATTGAGCACAAATTGTAAAAGAAAATCTAGAAAGTCTTTATAGACACTAAAAACTTATCCAAAACAAACTAGAAAAATAGTGTTCGACAACTTCTACCGACGGCCTTTACGATTCGTGGTTACTTTTGCGGTTTGAGGAACCTACTCGTAAATGACAGTGAATGTATAGTCTCAGAAATTTCTCCATAGACAAGAACTGCAGCCGGTAAAAGCTTCTACGACTTCTACTATTCCCTCGTAGAAGTCAGACATTTGTGTCCATCTTCTGAACCTCAAACATGAACTTCATCGACAGATCATAAGCCCTTCTATGACGCATACTGCATACTCGTAAGATTCAAAATTATGTAATCAGTTAGGATTGTCATCTACAACTCATGGACCAAACCACGATTCATAGAATGGCTCATATATGATCAAAAATTGTCCACACTATATGTTTTTCAACACATAGCCATCAAATTCTATTTTTCCTGCAAAACAACTATAAACACACATTAAATCTACTAAAATGCACTAAAGAGCATACACCAATTCTAGATTTTAAGCATCAACAATGCCGCAAATCCACAACACAACAATAGTTTTGGGTGTTGAATCATGTGCTATATTGTTAAAATTAGAATAACAAATGTTGTGGATAAAAAAGTATTGACCTAGGCTTCATATAAAAATATATAAAGTGTGGTTATATATATATATACACCACTTCATGTCAAAATGTCTGAAATGCAATTGGTATATATCAGTAGTTTTTCTTGCCAAGACCTATAGTAAAAAAAAATGTCTGAAGTTGATCTTGGCAACTTATTATATGAATTTACAGGGAGATAAGGAAGTTATGAGGGGAACAGGAACAAAAAATACGACGCAAGAGATACAAAAATCACTGGAAGGGGAAGGGAGGACTCACCAATGAGTTGCCCAGAGATCTGGTAAGGAGATACACAACGAAGGAACTACAGAAGGCCAACCTGTATGGGTAACACCAAAGAAGGCTGCAAGTGCACAATACATAGAAAGAACAACAAGGCAAAAAACAGGGAATGATTTTCAGATACTTGATAAGGGGATACTATTGTGATGGTTCCACAAAGTGAAGAAATGGGTGGGAGTCGTACACATCCACCTAATGGGTAGTTTTCTAGTATGGAATGTGTGAGGCCTTAACGGGTCGAATAAGCAAAAAGAGGTGAAGCTCCTTTGCAATAATATTAATGCAGAAATAGTGGGTATGGTGGAGACAAAAATAAATATAAGTAGGACAAATAGCACAAAGTATGTTTCCTGGATGGGAGTATATTACAAACCTGGAGCATCATTACAATGGAAGGATTTGGGTAACTTGGAGGCCAGATTACTTTCAGACTATTGTTGTAAGTATGATGGACCAGACTGTGACATGTGAGATTCTGAATATTTGTGAATGAACCAGATTCTATCGTACTGTGATCTATGGGCACAATAGCAAAGAGGGTAGGACAGCGTTATGGAATTATATATCAGTGACAAATCAAGGACAAACACTACCTTGGTTGATCGCTGGAGATTTCAATTCAGTGCTTAACCAGGACGATAGAATTGAAGGGAATCCTATTACTATAGGGGGAAATTGAGGACTTCAATGAATGTGTGGTGAAGTGCGGATTGAACTCCCATATTGTGGAAGTAGATACAGATGGAGTGACAAGTAGGGGGATAACATAATTTGGTCTAAGATAGATTGGGCACTGGTCAACAGTGAATGGCTGGACAACATGCCTGATTATTCAGTAAATTTCTTGCCAGAAGGTGTGAGTGATCATAGTCTTATCCATATTGCATTGAAATCAAATGTGAAGCATAAGAGGAAAGCTTTCAAGTATTGTAATACGTAGTCGAAACATCCTAACTTTCCTAGTATAATGGAGGAGGTTTGGAGTCAATGTAGTCTAGGGTGCACAATGTTTAATTTCAAATAACAAGGAAACTAAAGGAGCTTAAAAGAAAATTGGTCGGACTAAATAAATAGCATGTCAGGAACATAGTAGAGGAAGCCAACGAGGATAGACAGGCCCTGCTACAAGTC